CGACAATTTTCTTAGAAGCGCATTTAAAGCAGTGTTCATTTTCTTAAACACGCATTTGATCTGTTCTCAAATAAAAGGCACCGCGACGGTTTTATTCTTCGTTGACGCCTATGTTCCGCATCGACTGGCATGATTTTGTCACCGTTTTAAGTTTATATACTAACATTTATTCTCATTTTGCTTCAGCTGAAAAAAGAAATTTTGTAAATTTATAATTGCAGACCTTTGATTGTTCTTAGTAGTTTAAAATAGTAAAAAAAGGTCCATTAAAGCCGAAAATAGCTAATCTTGAAAGATTGATGAACAATGAAAATTGTTGAACTATAAAAATTGAGTTTTACGAATAGCTAGAAGATGCAGATGCATTATCGATAAGGACATGGAAGATAAGACTGGATAATTTTCAGGTAAGATTTAGAATTTTTCTTAATGATTTAAAAAATGCTTGAAACATGGAAACAAAATTATTTCAAATATTATTAAGAATGGGGATAATGTTTGTTTAAATAAAATAACCATTACATAGTTAAAGTTTCGTGAAGTAACTTCAACTTAATTTGAAGATAAATTTCATTAGTTGAATAATTTAAAAATATAATTTGATTTTTAATTGCTAGTAATAAAAGTTTATCGGATGTTCGAAATTTATATTATTTAAGTACAGCGCTCTTATTATATTTCTGAATTTCGGATATTTGATTTCAATAAACTGAAGGAAACAACTTACATAATTTTATTTATCTCAGTTAATTAATTTCTGCTTTTTATTAAACTATTTCTTTTCACATTTTAAGGAGCAAGCTAAATTCTAAATTGAAAGTCATTTTTCAGTTGTTCAGTCATTTTTAGTGATTTGTTATATAATAAAAATATTAAGTAAGTTTTGGAAATATTTAAAGAGCAATTTTTAAATTACTTAACCCGAAAGATTGACGGGAAAATATTCATTTATTTTATTGGAAATATTAGAATGTTGGAGGGAATATTAGAATGTTGGATGACACTATTTTCATGCTAGAGGGAGTCATTTTTGAGATTATCTTGCTCTGTGAAGTGTTCAAAAGTTCCAAACATTTATTAAAATCTGAGTAATCCAACACATTCTCAATAGGTTTTGGTTTGAAAAAATATATCAGTTTTAACAGAGTTCTTGTGGTAACAGCTGAGTTAGCCCAAGATATTTACAAAAAAAGAAGTCTATTTCTATGCTGAAGAAAATAATATGAAATTCACATTATGGATGAATATAAATAATTAGTTTATTTTACTGAATTATAATCTATTATTGTTATTCTTAGATATTGAATATTAGTTTCTGTCTATTTTTGTTAGACACTGATTTATTTGACTTTAAAATGTTACAGTCCATTGTTAATAAATTTTATAAAATAATGTTCAAAAGAGCCATTAATTTGGAAAGTATTCAACGTACAATGCCTTTTTTTACAAAATTTAAACTAATTTCGTCATAAATCTTTCATTATAGTAGTCGCTGACATGATTTTCGAACTTCTAAAGAAAGACTGGATCTAACGAAGTCTTCAAGAAGGAAATTCTTTCAGTTTTTACTGCTGCTACACCCTCCCAATTTCCAACTAATTACAGCCGCAATTTATCATAAAAATTGGCCGCAGTTTTATTATACTCAGGAAAGATCTCATTATATCGATCTTTATGGGTGGAGTATTATCTCGAAGTTTATAATTCGAGGAATGAATAGAACGAAGAATCACTAATGAATGCGAAACCTATAAAAATATTTTTCAGACATTGTATTATAATTAATAATATTTTTATCTGCTACATTTTATTTTTTGATACTGATATATATTAATTATATTTGCAAATGCTTAGAGTTAATTGAAATCCTTGGAAGAGCAATCGCGTGTAGAAAACGCGTGATTTACTGTCTTCAAACCTACACGCAAGTTTATGAGAACGGTAAAATTTGCTGGAATATGTGACAGTGCAACTGATGATTACACAAAATTTCTCACGCAACGCATTAATACCACATTTCAGCCTTCTTACATTATTTTTTTTTTCTATTATCATTACGAATCAATTTAGAAATCGTTCTGTTATTTTTATTTGTGTAGTGTCCAAAAAATAGAACATGAAACTCGTGGGACGTTTTTAAGCATCAATAATAGTTGTGAATTCATGAAATGAAATATACCTATAAATTTATGATGACCATTTTTTCATTCCTCTTTTTCTATTATCTAACACAATATAATCATAAGTTTTAAATTAAATTTAAAATTATATTTCTTTTACCTAAGCGAAACTTTTTTTAAATATTTTTCGCTTAATTTCATTTATTAAAATTGTTGTTTGAATATTTGTTTGTTCTATTCTAATCATTGAATTGTGTTTGAGTGATCCTAATTTCAATATTATTAAAATTAAGTTGGCAAGTTTTTTTAGTACTTAAACAGCTAAAACCTTAGATTTCTTTTCCTTAAAAGAACAAAAGTAATTGTGCATAGCGTTATTAATGATTAGCGTAAATTAAATCGTTCACGAGTAATAACACCTGAAACTTTTAATCATTACTGGTTGAATACGGAATTTTTAGATTTAAAGAATCTGAATACGCATTTACCTAACCTCTCTTAAATAATCTCTCTAAAATATTACATGAATCTTTATCTTTATTATCTTTATTACATGAGTATTATATGAATCAATCACATCTTTAAGTTATGGTTGATCTTTATCGAATTTCTTAACACTGTTTTAATAAGACGCATTAAATCATGTAAAATGCAGGATAGTAGCATAGAATAAAAAATAGGGTAAGTATATTTCAATTTATTTATATTTCCTGTTTCATTCATTGTTATTTATTTATCTTAATAGAATCACATATGCGTAACAGTAAATCCGTATCTGAATCATAAGAATAATTTTACTTTATACTTTCTTGGGAAATAAAAAAAACGGCGATTTGAAAGTGAAGTCCAATGCTGTTAATTACGTTCTATGAAAAAGTAAAGAAAAAAGACCAATTTTTCAAAGAAATGATACATATATTAAAAATTATAACAAATGTTATCAAAGTAAATTCTGCTCTAAACCTAAAAGCATTTTTCCTGCTGTAGTTAACTCCTATAAATATTTACATCTTAATTAACATTGTTTTCAACACCCTCAAAGTATTCACTCCAAAGAATTTTAGGAAATGATTACATGCTTAATTTTAAGAAAATAAATTTTTTTAAGGATTTTGAAAAACAAATGAAACCATAGCTATACCCGAAAGGAAATATACAAATTCGTTTAAATTATGCGTTGTTTAAACTTAAATAAAATTTTCAGCAACAAAAGAGGTTTACTTGATATAATGCAATATTGCCCTCCACACCTTTTAAAAAAATAATCGCTTCAACGTCATAATATAATATCTGTAAATTAAACCCGTCTGTAAATTAATCTGTAAATTAATTGCTTTAATTTAATTATATGGTAATACTCTAGGCTTCTGTGCTTTCCATAGTATCATATAATAAAATAAATTAAGAACTCCAAGAACATAGTAAATGGTATGGTAGAATATGGTAACTCTACGAATATGGTTTCCGAATCACGTTTACGTTTAGCGTAACCAAATTTTTTGAGGTCATAAAAGTCGAGAGTACCAGTCATAAAATAATGTGTAAAAATATAATAAGTAATAATTACAATTACCTGTAACTTTAGACTATCGGTTTAAATTTACAGCAAAGTTAACTGGTATTAAGATTAAGCAAATGATTTACATTATATAGTAACCCCATGACTTACGACTTTAATGACCTCGTGACTAATGACTTTAACTTGTTATGACTTTAATGACGCTTTTCTAAATTTCACTATCTCTAATATGAGATTTTGGGAGGCTAATGGATCCTCACTTGCCGTTTCCTTAGGTAGTATCTTTAATAATTAATGTCGATTAATATTTTATTTAAAATTACCGATTACTAATTTATTAGTTTATTAAAAAAGCATAGGTTCTACAAAATCGATTAAATATTTAAAAAATATTAATGATATAAATAGCTCTGTTAAAAATCCAAATTAATGAATATCACTCGTAGAAAATATTTACGAGACAATAAGAAAGCGTCTTCTTTTCAGACATATTTATCAAGCATTGCACTCTGTAACTTTTTAGAGACAGTTCAGAAAAATCATATTAATTAAAAATAATATATATATTACTCTTTTTACTTTAAATTCAATCAACGGCAAAATGAATTATTATTTTCATTTTGTTCGAATATTGAAATGAAAGATAAATAAATATTGAAAATATTTTATTAATCATCGAGCATGTTTTAAAAAATACTTTAAATACAACTAATTCAGAGACTGTAAAATGTTATTATGTATTTATATTTTTATCGTTTGATGTGGAATAAATTCTTAACTCTAAATTTTTTTTATAAATTTAATTTATTTTCATTTTACGTAGACATTTTTATCGTGTTTCAAACTTCTATGCATACTTATAAAAGTTATGTGCATAGAACCTAAATCAAATGCCATAACTTTTCAAGTACCGTACTTTCTACATTATTAAAAATCTATTTCTGTGCACTTTGATTCTTGCGAAATTTATGTATATATAATTCAAGGTGGCTTTGAAAATTAAATTCAATGCCACCACTTGTAAAACTTTGTTTGAAACTTTGCCGCTTCCCAGTTGCTATAGCAAATATTGTAGCTACATATAATCGTTCTGTGATTGAATATTTTATTTCGTACTAATGCAAATCATAATAAACTAAACTTAATCGGAAATTATGTCTAATTATTTATTTTGACGGTGACTTGCACTGTAACTAAGTTTTGCATATAAGGCTTTGTGCATGTTCGCCATTTAGAACTAAACTATTCAGAAATAAATATTTATATTTTTTGATTATGCTGAGGTAAACATTTGCTAGTGTATAATAATTGTAAATGTATGAGTTACGAGAGATAAATTTATGTTCAAATTTTTTACTCACCTTTTCCAAAAGACACTCCAAATCGCAATAATGTGGAAAATATCAATATAATAAACATAATTCTCCGATTACTTCCTTACTTATCACAACTCACAATTTATGTTTCAAAATATCAAAAGTTTGCACAAATATCATATCCTCGAAAAATCAGTTCATCCCGCATGCATTAACTTGGATTGAAGTTTATTTTCGAATTATTTCTTTACTTTATTAGTCTCTATATCCCATTGAAGTTTTTTAATCATAAGGTATTCCTTTATAACTTTACTTTTTTTAAGAAATTTCGTTAAAACAATATGAAACAGTTTTTGAAAATAATTTACAGAAGATGATGCAAAAAAAGGCAATTAAAGAGTGAGTGACTTAAAGTTTATTCCCAACCCATCATTCTATAGCATTCACTTTGAGTCATTGATTTGTTCCTCTATACTCTCAGAATCATTCTTGGCACCAAATTTTCTAAGGAAGAAGAGATGCTGATTCCTCCAGGTTGACAGGGAAACTGAAATCTCAGGCTTTACGGATGCAGTTTCACTAGCGCCCCCATACGACGAAAGCGTAATTCATTTTGACTTAAGCTTGTTGAAAATATTGCTACAAGTATCGAGAAAATGAGATTTTTCGTTCTATTCCCTTCTCCTGTTTAAAGTACAAATACTGTTTCAGCTTCCTTGGAAAAATTATTAATTCTAAATATATATTTTTAAAAGTCATTGGCTTAAGCTTTCTAAGCTATTTGCTTTAATTTGGTTTATTATTTATCATAAAAATATTTATATGTAAGCAGCTTACTAAGTTTGAATAAATATAACTTTCTTATAAATAAGCGTCTTAAATGGATAATCCATTTTAATGTGGAACATCATTTGACAAAACTTAAGTGTGATATTTGTATAATGTTTTGCAATTACTATTTTTTAACAGTTGTATCTACTTAATACATGAATAAATGTTTTAAATAAAATGGTAATGTAATCATTATATGTTTCCATATCTTTAAATTCTTTTTATTATTTGACAAGGAAAAGAAAGAGTTGTATGATCCCACATATGCGTACATGGCGGGAAAGTTTAATTGGAAGTTCTAACATCGATTGAAGATCACTGTAGAGAAAAAAAATTAGTTTTATGTGTTATGCTCTGGTTGTTTAGATTATTGAATGTAGTTTAGACACGCATTGTACTTTTATTGATAATCCAATTTAATTTGAAAAATAATGCTAGTAATAATTCTATAATATTTAAAAATTTGAATTTTTTAACAGTTGTACTAATTTAATACAGGTATGAAAGTTTTAATTGCGTACTGATGATAATGTGTCCATTATATGTTTCCGCATCTATAAAGTTCACATTTTTCCTTTTTATAATTTCACAAAGAAAAAAATGTTCCATAAGCCAATTCATGTGTACGTTGTGTGAAAGTTTACTTGGAATTCCTAACATTTATTAAATATTTGGAGAAAAGGGAGTAACGTTTATTATTATTTGGAGAAAAGAGAGTAACTGATGTTTTAGGTTGTTTACTTATAGTTAGTTATAATATTATAGCACAGTACATTATGGCTTTAATACAAATTCTTTATTATTTAGACAATAAAGACTAAAGTCAGTAAATCTATCAAATAATGTTTTAATTGTTTGTTTGTATTTATTGACTTGATTCTTTAGATATTAAAATGTAAATAAATGAGATTATGTTAATTTCCCTATTTATAAAAGGTTAAATTATTCGATTGTAGTTTTTTAAGTGATTGGTGATCGATTCTTTCAATGTGTGGATTGTTTGATTGCAGTAACTTGAGTTTTTAGATAGCGAAACATAAATAAATATAATTAAGTTAATTTAAGTCTACAGGAAAGTTACTGCTGTTCCAGTACAGATCTTATTTTAACTTCATATTGCTTAGTAGGATAGATGCTAATAATTTAATTAGTTTACTGATTATCTACGTAATTTGAGAAACGAACCATTTGTTTGGAATTTTAATGCATCACTCTAAGCTGACTCCATATTTGCTTCACTGTAAATCTTTAAGGATCAAATTATAGTAAAAAATAATGGCAGAAATGATGGCACCTCAAATTCAATTTTTACCAGAAAAATAGCTCGAATGTACCGTATTATTACAGCAACAAGAATTGTAAGATCGGTGAATCATTCTAATTAAATAAACATTACTCTAATAATTACGGTATAATATTTTACGGTAAAAATGGATTTTACGGTCAAATGGAAATTACGTAAGTAAACCAAAAGTGTCGGCTCTTTATACCGTAATTAACATTTTTTATTAATTTACATTGCATATAATCAGTAGAATAACTTATTTCTACCTCTCAGAGACATTAAATCAAGCAATTAACAATTATTTAATTTTCAAAATATAATTTTATACTGTTTTGTAAAACATTACGTAAATCAAAACGCTACCTATAACGGTCGTAAATATTCTGAAAATTTAAAAAAATGTAGGAAATGACTGTGAAATGTTTATTTCCAGGGACAGCATTACATGCCATGTTTGTAATGTTTGGTTAGCGTGAGATGATTCATTAGCTTCACTCTGAAACTTCAAAATTCATTTGATCTCCGTAAGATCAGCTTTCACAAGATGACACAGACTATAAAAAGCTCAATTTTTTGTCTCTAATTCATGCAATTTATTTCACAAATCAATCGCAAAGACACTTACAGATGATTTTATTTTACAAATCAAATTGTTTTGGTTCGTGCTCAGTATCAAAAAAATCGTTCGATTCTAAAGAATAAAAATAATGTATCAGGTAACCTAAAATGCATAATGGATTACATTCATAAAACTTCAAGATATTTTGTTTAAAGTAAAGTTTTCAAAAGTTTCGTACTATATAAACAGCAATCTCTTAAAGTTTAAGATCCCTTTCAGACAGACTACGTTGATGCCGAATGAAAATGTCTAGTTTTGTCTGAGCAAATCCATATTTTTATGTAGTAAAAGATTAAAATTTCATCTGATTAAAATGTATTGATAGTGATAAGTGATTTTATAAAAACTGGAAGGAGGACGCTACATAATAATATATTATAAAACGTTTTATTATGAAATAATTATTATAATATTTATTTTATTAAGAAATCAAATGCACAGAAGAAAAAACAATAGTAAAACTACCATCCTGTAAAGTAATGACATAATTTCTAGTAAGAAAAGAAACATATTTCCAGTTAATAAAACTAAGATTAAGTAAAGAAAACTACTTAAAAATTAAAAAATTAAAAAGTAAACTTTACTGAGTTTATCACAGATTATAAAACTACTTCATTGGTTATTTTACCAAAATCATAATCAAAGCAATTCGGAAAAAAAATTACCGAGCTTTTTGTTCTTCCCATGGAGCTACAGACACGTTAAATTTTTCCATATTCTAGCAATTTTGATGATAATTTTTTCTCAGTGTGCGATTTACTGATTTATTGAACAACTCTGTATTTTTACGTCGAATATTAAAAAAGACAGACAACCATATTTTATAACTACAGTAGTTTATATATAATTATGTTTTTTTTTTCAATCTTTTTTTCTCATTTGAGACGTTGCTATCCACGTTATTGCACATACTTTAATATAAAGAGAAAACCCTACTTCCTTTCTAATTAACCATTTTTTTCTATAAGCAAAGATTTTAAAAACTCACATAATGTGTTGTAATAATAATTGAGTGCATTAGTTGTGTTTTTCTTTAATATTTTATCCTATGTTAACATAATAATTCCAGAAACTTGTGTAAGAAGATTGTAGTATTTTCATAATAAGCAAAGCTGTACGGCTTCAGAGATTACATGGAAGCAAAAGGTTTTCGGTTCTCTTATGAAAAAAAAGGCTTATTTTTTTTCTTCTCCTCGACTGAAATCCTTAATTTACTTACGTTTAAAATAAATTGTCCATTATTCAAGTCATGTTTCGCTTGAATCTTGATCGCAAAATAATGGACGGCACATTTTTAAGCTTATTTTAATATTGTAAGTAGTGTAAAGAACTTTATAATCACATCAGCTTGATAAAATAGAATTAAGCTGTCACATTACAGATTGTTTTTTATGCTGAAGTAGGCTTTGAAAAAAAAATTTAAATAATTTATGTTTTGAAATGCTATTAATTAAGCATATTTTACCAAACATTTTTTTAATAAATCCATTTTAAAATTTTAATTTAGCTCTAATTTTACTTGGTATATAATTTAATAAGCAATGACTTACAATTTTAATATAATAGGAATCCACTCTTTCTCCTGAATTTAAATTCATAGAAATTCAACCTAACTAATTTTTTTATTTAACTAATAATCAAGAAGTAGTATAAATTTAAATTTAGCAAAGACTATTATATTCAAGCGTCTTTGCAACGTTGACCAACATATGTTGATGTAAAAACACTTGATACTATAGTGAGACACTCACATAAAACTATAAGAAGGACAAAAATATTATTTCTGAAATAATATTATTTTATCAAATACCGGTTTAAAAAAAGATGAAAGGGAGGCAACTACGAAGGTTGATAGCTTAGACTTTTATTACTGCATATATTCAGTTGCTGCATCAATTGGATATTTTCGGTACAAAAGTAGATTTTTCAGTAAATTTTGCAGCCAATTCTGTAAGAGCACGGAAAAAATATAAAATATACAAACCGTCTTGTCCTTTAATATCTATACCCGGGATAAAAAGCTCTTAGCGTATCTCTTTCATTTTATTGCAATGCTGAATATTAAATGCGCTGGTGTTCTTAGCAGGACAAAAATGTAAAAGGAAATCCCACAGTGGAATCAAAGCAGTAAGGACAGCTGCACTTAGAGCAGAAAAGGGAAAAAATTTATTTTGAATATTTTGAGAATAAATTCAACGGAAACTAAATTTACGACAAAATACACTTTGTTGTTTTTTTTAAATACAGTTGTCTGTAGTTACCTTTACTGTACACGTTTAAGAAATTTTTAAAGAGCTGTATGTAACAATTTATGCTAGCTATTAACCTGCAATAAAATATTCTTTTAACTATATATATATATATA